AGTTCCAAATGTTGTAGTGGCCAAGAACGGCTGCCATTTCAACCTGTTATCTGGGTTAATTCCTCGATGGAGTCTGCAACTCGGTGACTCGTGTAAAAATAAGTCGTATGTTGAAGACACTTTGGTTCGCTTTGACCTCAAGAAGATAATGACAATATAAAGTTTGCGGTTGTATTGAAGTATATTGGAAGCTTCTGTTTCCAATTGTGTATTCTCTCCACTTTGACTCCAAAAAATTCTTCTTTAAAGCAGAAGACGAGACTTTTACAAAGAAAACAAGAAAACTATACACACAAAAACCTAATCGTACTTCTATGTTTACGATTATGATTCAACCTTCGTCTTTCAATTTGTGAAAATGCTCATGACATGCTTCTTTATCTTCATCGTCATTAAGACGGAAACGATATTTTAACAACTACTAATATCCTTATTGTTCAAAACCGTCTTATTGTTTTTAGATGCCCCCTCAAATCTCCTTTTGTGAAAGATATTGATGCATGCGGTTGGATCACGTAACAATCAACTAACAATTTGGTTTGGCCAACTTTCACAGTTCAAAAATTTAATCAATGATTATACTCATATTATTCTATTGTCTTAAATTCTTTTAGAGACTTTAATCATGCAAAAATATTTGCTTTATAGCGCAAATAAAAAAGTTTCAACAACTTGACGAGATTGCTTAATTGCATGCAACTTTCGATAGCGTCCCTTCTCATAAATCATATCAGTTATTAATCTCTCTATATCTTTGTACACTAGTAAGAGACTCCTCAAAGAGACCGAATCACTTTTTAACCACGAGGCAACACATTGTCAAAAGCTTAATTTTCAGCTGAGCATCACTGAATAACTTAGTCATCTCCTCGTGAGTACGATAGCGTATGATGATTAGTTTGAAATGAAGATCGTGAAATTTGAATACGACCTAACCAATTAGCTTTCGCCTCGGCGCATTAGTTCAATTACATGCTCACAAATTGCTGAAACAGCAAATATTAACATCCTGTCATTATCTTGGCCTAGTTTACAAACAATGTGATGTTCGGAATCTCCTTAATTAGAGTCCTCAAAGCAAATCACAAACCTCATGTAAATCCGACAAGGGACTTAACTTCAGCTACTTTCTACATTTGAATTGCGTTTTGAATGAGAATGACTGCGCTTGTGAGCCATCGCGATTTTTGGAATATGACAAGCAAAGAAACTTTCAATGTACTCTGGCTGAGAGTGGACAACTTAGAGACTATAACTGTAACCTTTGTCATTCTTGGAATCGCATGTGCTCCGATAATTTTCTTTGGATACTCGTTGGTCATTTGGTCAATTTGGAAAGACCCCCTAAAGAAGCTTCGCAGATCGCCATCTGGGTTGATCGTGTTATCAATGGCCACTGCCGATTTTCTTGTTGGATCAGTTCTACTCCCTACAGCCGTGACTTGGGGTTGGTCCATGTTTCATTTCAAAATTCCCCGAATTCCATACCTGGCGGTCAGTGCAGTCTTCGTCTACGTTAGCGTTGGTCATATCTTCCTCCTAACACTTGACAGATTCTTTGCCATCGTAACACCGCTTCAGTATCGAGCTGTTGTCACGCCTAAAGGAATCAGTGTTGCTATTGTTAGCCGTTGGATTTATTTCTTCATCTTTGAAATTACCTTTGGCTTATTGCAACACCGATACTTTATCATAATGGAAACTGCGTAC